TTGTAATGAAATATCGCCCGACAATTCCTTAATACAGTGTGATTGAGGGTGAATATTAACAATAATACTCGTGGTTGTTCTAGATACTAAGTCGAATGAAAACGATTGTGAAAATCAAATTCAAGTGAATTAGAAACTGGATTTCTGAATTTCATTTTAGAAATTGAGTAATTGAGTAAACCAGTCGTTGGCAAAGTGAGGCTTATGGGTAGCATGCGGCCCATTAAACTTCAAAATATGGCGCATCATATTTATTGGCGCATGCGAAACTCGAGTGGTCCATACTCATACTCACATAGTACATATTTGCCTATAATCCACAAAAAGTTTGCCGACGGCTGGAGTAAACAATTTTTTGACATAAAAATTCATTATAATTGTAATTTGATAAAAACTTTAAACAACTTGAAAAATCAAACAATTTAATATTCAGATTTGGTGTAGTGGTATAAAGCGTACCAGTAATAGGGCGACCGGAGTTCGATTCACCATGAAAGTTAATAATTGTTTTTATAGAACAGAAGTACTGTGAGTTATAAATAAATTATTACATATATGTGTATACATTTAACCCTAAATGAACCCAACTTTATTAAAAAAGTATATTTCACTTTTAATTCACAAAAATCTAAAAATGTGTATTCAATTCATTTTTTTCTATATACGAATTCGGAATGCAGAAGACTTAACTTTCATGTTCGAAATTTGAACTCATGTTTTTTTTTACTCTTGAATAAAATGAGTGAAAATAGAAATTTAATGAGTCAAGTGAAACCTGAAGCAAAGAAGTTTAAATCTTGCAAAACTTTGTGCACACTCAAAATAAGCTGCAAATTTTTACTAAATTGTGCTTTCCATTAATACACCCATAAACACAAAAGAAATGGATGCCCATTACAAATCACATTAGAATTCAGATTGATTTTTCTTTCTTTTGTTCTTCATTTAATTTAAACATTGATAGCCAGCCAAGATAATGCCCCTATAAATATTTTTAAATTTATTTTCGATTTTCATTATATTTTGCAGACTATTTTGATATTTTTAATATATTAAAAATATTTTTATATCTGCCACACCTACTACGGATATTCTTGTATAATTAGAGAACTGAAAAAAAGTTTTAATTATTGCACAAATGTAAACACTTAAGTTATTTAATAATTTCAACCATTTGTTATTTTTAGATCAAATAAAAATGTTAAATATAAACAAACCCAGCCAAGAAAGCAACCACACTTTGTACACCAATGATTAAATTTTCCGTTTTGGTTTTTCATGCGTTTATTTTATCAAATTTTATTTTTTCTTTTTGTTAATTATATTGTGGTATCGGAAGTAATAAAAATTAGTAATTATATATGTGAATAAAATATTATCTTAAATTTAAATGTTAATAGCCTATTCATGTATGGTTATTTTATTAACTGGCATAAAATATTTAACTTACATTTTATATACACGGTTTCTATTTTCTATATACCAAAAATAAATGTGAAAATGATAAAAAAATTTAATGACAAAACCAGGAAATGTACTTAGAATTAAACGCTATTATTCTAGGTCTAATTCATCCGAACAACGAAAAGTTGTTAAATAAAAAATTTTTCTGGAGCTCAAATTGTTATTGTACATATTTCTAAAAAAAACGTCTGTGTCCGAACACTAAAGAAAAATTGAAGAAGAAAATTATTTTTCAAAAACAAAGCTTTTCCCTCTCACTGAATCGACACTCCTGCTGGTTAATGTTGCCTATAATGAGAGAACAAAAAAAAACCAAATTTTGTTTTCATGATTGTATAACTTCAAAAAGATTTCTGGAACTAAGAACATTATAGGCAACATAGTGGGGGTATGAATGTCTGGTTGTATACAGTGATTGCGCGATCAACTTGGTGAGGGTTGCACAGCGCTTGTGTGGTGGCCGGCGATGGAGAAGGCATATAACCGCACCAAGATAAATAGGGTTCAAAGAAGAGCGTGTATTGGTATTACTGGGTCATTGAGTTGGACCCCCACAGATGCCTTGAATATGTTTCTTTATTTGTTTCCGGCGGAATTACATATCGTTAAACAGGCGACCAGCTGTGCCGTAACACTCAGGGAGATTATGTGCTAGAATCCTAGGGTCACGGTAGTATTCTTGAGTTGCTTTTTCCAGGAATAACCTATGTGATTACAGACTATTGTATTCCAATATTGAGCTTCGAAAAAAAAAGGTTTGTTTCGAGCTTCTCTCTCGTGGCTATTGGAAGGGAGTTGACTTCTTTGGCCAGTTTTGAAGTGGCTTCATTCGTCAAATGCTCAAAGAACGAGAACGGGGTGATGATAAAATAAATGAGGGATTTTATCGATGATAAAATTTTCTCCCCGACACATGGTTTGTCTCAATCGTATCGGCCTCCTCATACATCAAGTGTCTTTTAGACCGAAGGTTTCGCCACACTGAGGGCATGCGAGATCTTAGGGGTCTCCCTGTTATAGCTATTAATGTTACAATAGTGACCGATAGCAAATTCTGTGGAGAAGTCTACATATTACACTGGCCGTTGGGGGAGCATGTTTGTAGCATCCATCAATACAAAGTGTAGCAGTTGCCGGAAAATAGAGAAAAGTGAAACTATTTTTCACTTTCACTGGAAGTATCCGGCTCTTCCCGGAACCAGAGAGGTCACGTGTGGCAGAGTAAACGTAACGGAACTGAACGAGATATCGAACATCGATATCGCGAATTCAGATATATTCGGGGATTTAATTATAGCAAAACGGCACATTTGTATTAATTGAAATGCGGGCGGGCCACACGTCAACCAACCAACCAACAATTCGTACATAAATAGTTCTACAAAGCTCTTACAATTCTGTTCAATATAAATTTACGAATGTATTTTTAAAAAACATTACAAAAAAATAAATTTTGAAATAATCCCAGCTCTATCACCGTATACAGGTAAAAAAATACTGAGCACATGCCTGTCTAATTAAAATTATTTTTCTTTTTGGTTCTTTTTCTTTTGTTCCTAAGTGTCTGTTCACATACCCACAGTCTACTATTTTATACATATATAATTACGTTATCTACACATTATCTTACACATTATTTGGAATAATAATACACAAACTAACGTATAGTATGTGGATCAAAGCCAAAAAAAAAAAAAATATTTTTTTTTTTGTTTTCTTTGATCTTATTGAATTATTAATAAATGTAATGGCGCTCTTTTAGACTTTTTCAGACCTTAATCACATATATTATGTGTATTTAGTAAAATTGTGGGCAAAGTTCCATATTACATTAAAAAGGATACAATATATATATATGTATATTTTTATATCCTAAGGATTATAATATTATATACGTATATTAAAACAATGAACCAGTTTCTTACACTCTTATAATTAAATAATTGAAACTTTTTGTGTGTCTTTTTTTTGTTCATCAAAAAAGATAAAAATAAATGAAGGACGAATATTTTCATTTTTTTTTTTTTAATGTAAAATTCTCTCGCCTTAAAATGCAACCAAACAAGAAAAGGGTTTAACAAATTTCTGTTTTTTTGTTTTCTTGTTAATAACAACTTCTAAATTATACCACATATTTACTTATATATTTTAACAGCATAATATTAAACATAATTATAATATGTACCTATGTGTGAAATCTACATAAATATATATATATATACACAACAATAAAATAACTTTTTTTAAGATTTGAAATTTAAAAATTCTCTTAAATTCATTAAAATTATGTGTTGTGTTTTGTTGTGTAAATATTAACAGGAAATTTTACACTGCGCGCTGTTAAAGAATTAAAAGGAATTGCCTTAAGTGATTTGTTTTTTTTTTTTTATAATAAAATTTCCATACTTATATAATTTAATAAATAAATTGCTTTATAATGATTTGCTTAAATTAAACTTAAATCTTCAAATATTGATTTCAAATTGAATAGTAAAATAAAATTGCGGTATTTATATTAAAAGCTGCGAGGCAATAAGAAAATTTTCTTAATTTTCTGAAAGAATTTATAATTTGTATAATAGGAAAATAAATTATTTAATTTGTTTAATTTTTATATATGCATAATGTGTGTTTTTATTTGAACACGCATTTACATTCATTTATTTTGAGAGAAAAAATAAAATTTCAAAAATTTTCTTCAATAATTTCGAAAAATATTTTGATTAAGCAATCTGCTCGATTCTTACACTCAAAAATTTAATAGTCTTACAAAATTTTACATATATTTCGATAAAAGCTAGGCGAATCTTAAATACTTACTTAATTAATTTTAAAATTAATTCTCTCTATTTAAAACATGTAGCCGGGAAAATATGGAAGATTCAACTATTGCTACTATATAAGTAATCCAAAAGATCATATAAAATTATAACATTACATTATTGAAACAAATGCTTAGTACTCCTGTTTTACAAAATATGAGTTTGAGCAATTAAATTTCGATTTAAAAATCCTTACATATCGCAGACTGAATCTATTACATGACGACTCTATATGCAATTGCAGAAGGGCTTATATAATAAACTTACTGTATAGACTTAAAAAACAAGTTACTTATGTACATTCAAAAATAAAAGTAAAAATCTATGAGTGTAGTTGAAAAATTCAAATTTTACAAAATTGTCGCATTAAATAAAGTGTATTGTTTGTTGAATATTTGACATTTAATTTACACAACAGAATAAAAAAATCAAAAACATTGAAATACTGAAAACCGTGAAGGTTATTATAGAAAAGTGAAGGCTTACAGAATAATATAACAATTTTTTGGAAACAGACCTAATTTATGCTACTCATAAAATCGAAAGGAACTCAGAACAATTGATATTTGAATTTTTACAGAAAAAAGCACAACATCCCCTATAAATATGCAATCTAAATTCTTGCACACTTTTCAATTGTTTTTGTTCTTAATTTTAAATATTTTAATCTCTTAAATATTCTATTTTAATTTTGATATTTTCTTTCTTTAACAGATTCATAAAAAAACTAAAGCAATATTACGTTAGACGAGAATTAAAATAGTTACTTAGATACAAACAAAATCGGAAAAATTCAAAATTTTATTACGAAAAAAAAAACCAAATAAAACCAAAAAAAAAGAGAAACCAGAAACAAAAAAAAAAAAACATCAAATATGGACGACTTGAATTATGTATCTTCATTATCGATCACGAATAACAGTGGCATTTATGAAAATGCTAGCATAAAAACAGATGATTTTTTAGCATTATTCACATCGACTGCTAGCAGTATTCCATCCCATCAAACTTTTAGTAGTCTAACAACTACAACTACTAATTATGATATAAATAAAAAAACAAATCGTTTTATTAGTAATTTTACAACTTCAACAGCAACAGCAATACATCAATTATTATCATTTCCAACACCACCATCACCATTAGCATCATCACCATCTTTTACTTCATCATTATCTGCAATATCAGCAGTATCAACATCATCGCATTTAACAACACCATTAGATGAAATTACTGATTTGGGAAATTCTTTAAGTGATATTAATTCAACAGTGTTACCAAATAATGAAACTTTATTTCATTTTAATTTTAAAAATAATACACAAATATTTAATACAAATTATAATTTAATAAATGATTCAAATGTCACAACAATACGATTTAACGGTACTTATCCAAGTGGATATACGTTAACGCACATAATCATAGCATCAATTATAGTTACAATATTAATGATAATAATAGTAGTTGGTAATATGTTAGTAATAATTGCAATTGCAACTGAAAAATCATTGAAAAATATACAAAATTGGTTTATAGCATCATTAGCTGTAGCTGATTTTTTCTTAGGTCTTGTTATAATGCCATTTTCATTAGCTAACGAATTAATGGGCTATTGGATATTTGGTGATTGGTGGTGTGATATACATTCAGCAATGGATGTATTATTATGTACAGCATCAATTATGAATTTATGTTTAATATCATTAGATCGATATTGGAGTATAACAAAAGCTGTCGAATATTTAAAATCAAGAACACCAGCTAGAGCGGCTGTTATGATTGCAGCTGTATGGATTATGTCCGGTTTAATATGTATACCACCATTATTAGGATGGAAAGTTAAACAACCAGAAGGGCAAGATTTACCACAATGTCAGGTAAGAATAAATTGATTTTTTTTTTTTTGTTTTTTCTAAATTTCACTTTTATTTTGATTATATTTTTATACATATAGCAACGAACAAACACTTAACTTAAGTTTGTCACGATTTTTCCTATATACAATAAAATTTCTTTTCAATATTTTATGTGACTCTAATTGCCGCCACTCTTGCCTTATGTGAATAAAAACAAAATTAAACTAATCAATAACTTATCATTCAATATTTTCGAGAACTACTCGTATACTCGTAATAACAAAAGAAAAACGTGCGATAATGGACAAAGGCAATTAATCAATCTTTCAATATTTTATGTGACAATCAAAAACAAACAATAATTTCATTTGCACAAACAATATAACCTCATAATTTATAAAAAATTGTGATCCAGAATGATATTGTTTTATCAATTTACATTTAATTTACCTTAAGTGATTAATGTGCCTATTTTACAACCTTTTGATACAATTGCTATGATTTTCTTAATATTCTGTAGATAAAATTTCATAAATTTGGATTTTATTCAAGAGATTTTTTTTGAAAATAATAGGCTAGTTTGTTAGCAATTTTTTAAAAATTTTATGCAAATTTTTCAAAAAAAAAAAACGTTTGAGAAAGAAATCGGCAGAAAAAATTTGTGGAGAGAAATTTATTGAGTGCCAATTAGAAAAAGCAAAATTCAGTCAAATCAATGATTTGTAAAGTGTGCTACTTTTAAAAAAATATTTTATATTTTAAATTACTTTCATTCATGTACCACATTTTGCAAACTATTGCATACTTTTAGGGTGTACAAAAAAAATCAAAAATGACGTTAACATAATGGTCGAATTCGAGGGTTAATTGCGTGAGTCAAGAAAAATAATTATATTTTTTGAAGGTATGGCATCTATCGTCAGTTTTATTAGCATTTATAAAAATTTGAAAAGGCTCACAGCATTGGAAATATAAGTTGCCTAAAATTCATACATTATTAATTTCGAGCGGTAATAACTTAAAAGGGAATGGAGGGGGGAAAACATATTATTCCAACTAATAAACTTCTTATTAATAACTAAAGGCTGCTAAAATTTAAGATTCCTGCAGCCTACCTTTTCAAAGAAGAAAAACATCAAAAAATTCTAAAACGGGTTTCAGATAACGATTAAATAGCCACATTGTCATTTCTATGTTCAACTATGTTTTGCCGCGATGGAAAAAGCCAGAAACTATTTTGAAAAAAATTTCTGGTTGCGTTACTATAAGTAATGGAAATATGGAATTTTTAGGAATTTATAAGGGTTATAACTTTAAAAGTGAAAGGGAGAAAGACATAGGTAAAAACTTTCTTCTACCGAAATAAATTTCTAGTTCAAAATCTATTTGTATGTAAAATTTCAGCTCTTTTTTTCAAAGGGTGTAGAAGTTTTGTAAATAAATCCATGGATAGACGGGCGGGCGGACAGAATGAAACTAATAAGCGCCTTTTCTATTAAAAAAAAAATTCTTGGAAAAGTGACGATAGCGTTTGTTTTAAAATCTCATGTGATTAAAGTCTTCAGCTGTAAAGATTTACAAAAATTTATTGAAATTTTATTTTCAGTTGTTGTTTATTTTTATTGGCAGGCTTTCTGCTGTCAATTTACTTGAAAGCTTTTTTTGTAAATTATAAACAGCAATAATGCGGCTTTAAAATTTTGTATGAAAAGCGCTTGTGTACGTGTCTAAATTTATTAATAACTGCTTTCCCTTACTATTCTCAAGTTTCAAATGACACGAAATCACCTAACGAATATTATCAAATTATATCGGAATTTTTTAATCCTTTCTTTGTCCTGCCGTTTAAAATTTTTTTAAAAAGACCACATATTTAAATTTAAAAACTACTCAAATTTCATTTTCATATTAACTTTTATTTTATAATAAATTTTATATTAAAAAATTTAATAAAAACATTTAAACTTTCTGAAGACCAGTACTGCCTAAGAATATTTTAAAATGTTTACATAAAAAATAAAGAAAAATTTCAATGATATTTGAAATTTTTCAAATAAATTTTAGCGCAATTTCTGAAGTGTACAACTTTTTCAAGCCAATTTTACTTAAACAAAGTTAATATCCTTTATAGTGTATATATAGAATTTATGAGAAAAAGAAAAAATAGAAAAAAAAGAGATCCTTATAAATTATAGACAGAAAGCATAAATATTAATAATTCTTTAATTTTCTATAAAATTGAATTTGAATAGTACTTTTAATTCGTTCATATTTCAAGAGAAAATTTTAATGGTAAAAGAGAATGCTTCAGTAACAAGTGGATACTTTAGGAATTCTTAACGTTATCTTTGAGTTTTTTTTTCTCTGCCTTATTTTTTTTTTTTTATTCTGTACAATTCAGGATGTTCTCTTCTTTTAGCCCGTTGTATAAATTTAATTGTTTATCGATTTTTGCTTTTTTTTCATCCTTTCTTTTTTTGTATTTTAAACTTTTTCTTGTTTTTAATTTCAATCAATTGAATTACCCTTAGTTTTTTTTTTATTTGTTTGTTTCTAATTTAAAAAACAAAAAAAAAAGGTTCTCTTTATAAGTTAAATTATTCAATTAACATCCAAAAGGAAGATGACATCAATTGATAATCATTTGAATTTAATGTTGAATTTCCATTCAATATTCAAATTGATTTTTAAAGGATTTTTTTTTCCCAACATTTTCATTTTCATTTTTTGTTTTTGTAGTGCGCGCAGATGAGACAATTTTAACTACATTTTTATATTTGATACTATATTTGTGTACATGTACAAATTGAGTTGAATTTTTAGGGTCACATTGGAATAAGAAAAAAAGCAACTTTAGTTTATGTAAAAATTTTATTATAGTTAAGCAAATTTTCATTTGGTTCTCATTTTAATATTCTCCTTAAAAATCAAACTTGCCCGTGTATTTTTAATTATTCATTTTAATTACATTTTAAAACCTAATTGGAATTGGAATCTTTATATTGATTCATATAATATTTAAATAGATAATTAAATAAAATTTTTTGTTGATTTAATGAAATGAGAAATAAATCAGGGCGAATATTTAGGAGAAGTTTAAAAAAAAATTTTGAAATATTAAAATTTATCGAAAATTTTTAAAATTTTTTGTAATTTTAATCTTTTGTGAATGTAGAATAACATAAACTGAATCAGCTTCTTTTTCGAAACAAAGCATATATCATTGTTTTTATTATCCTGCATAAGGACAATGAAAATGCAAATAGATTGTTATAGGACTATCCCCGTATATGCAAAAGCAAAAAAGAAAATAGGAAAAATTACTTTAGCCTAAAATTATTCATGTATATTAAAAGATCGTGAGACAAGAAACTTTGATTTTTGATTGATGATCGTTTTCGTAAGTTAGAAAAGACAAAAAGAACATTTAAACTATACTTTTCTTCTGCACGTTTTTAAAAACTTGAAAGGCTCTTGTAATTTTGGATTATTCATGTTTCGTATAAAAATATCATTTCTGTAAGATCCTAAGCGGAAATACTTAGAGCCGTGAATGCAGAAGCAAAAGTATCATGATCCTATACATAAGCTATGATTATATACATTAGTCATGACATCATAAAATATGAATTTATTTAGAAAAGAAGCCCATTTGAGAAAATTTCCGAAAATATTTTCGTTTTTATATGATTGTAATAATTAAAAAGATAAATTCAAAATATTCGTAAATATGCTCTCCTGTCTCTATCAATACGACAACCAAAATAGTGATGCATTCTCACTAATGAGAAATGTAAGACTTTTATTAATAGAATTTCGAAGCATGTACTGTTTGGTACTCAGTGCAATGACAGTGTGCAATGACAGTGAAATTGGGTTCTTTCAAACATTTCGTCGAAACTCTTGACATAAGAATACAAGCATTGATTGGTTCGGAACAATTAGATAAGAAATTCTTATTACTTATACTGCAAACACAGTCTTATATTTTCTTGAAAAAGAAGTGAGAAGCAAAATTTGTATTGACACTATATAACATCCAGCTTATAGCGATGGTGAAGTACAAAGACACGCTATGTAACAAATGTTTTAAAATGCGTTTCTTTACAATAATACTAATTTCAAATGGTCCTCTCTGTCTGGTATCGACTTCAGTGCCATACGTGTACTCCCCAGTAAATCCTATAACCCCTGTCCCCAATTTTTAATTTATTACTTAGCATATCTTTGCGTTTCACCATCGATATTATCTTTATGTATATAGCGAACAAGACTTTATAACACAAAAATTTATATGTATGTACTCTTCGAAATATTAAATTTATGCACAACATCCTTGAATGGGAACCCAAAATTTTGAAAATTATTCAATTTTGTACACACATTATGTAAATTATATGGTTACATACAAATCACAAAATTATGTTCTACAAAATACCTACATACATATATTTCATGTGTAAGTTCACATATTTTATAAATTAAATATTTAGGTTTATACAATTATTCATATAATGTACATACTTATACATACATAATGTGGTTGTATTCAAAAACCATTTGAGTACAAATGTATGTAACGGAATAATTATCTCATTTATTATAATCAATAATAATCTTATATAGATGACCCTAAAACAAGACAAGTGCAAAGTTACTTAAAATAAAACAAAAAAATATTTTTTATTATATAATTGGGTATGGTAAATTTAAAAGCATAGTGTCTATAATCCCGTTTGAAAAATAGTTTTATGTTGTGTAAAAATATAAGTATAAGAGGAAATTAATATGTATGTATGGGTACGTGTGTGAAAATGTTATAAAATTATACAAATAGTTACCATTTATAAAATATAATTCGGAAAATTTTTAATAAATATTAAAATATTAGGGTAGTAACATGAAAAAGGGGCTAAAAGTAAAGTCGACTTTTTGGAGCCCTTTCATATAGACTCTAGGAGTCCATAAGAGCCAGAATATGATAATTGACAAGATTTCACATGTTAATAGAATGATAGTCC